TAGAGCTAATTTTTTGTAGACTATTAATTCATCTTCTTAACTTAATCTGCATTCCAAATGCATATAAACTGCATTTCATTCTGTCCATAATTGAAACAATATATATAAATATGTTGCAATGCAAAAGAACAATAGGATAAAGTGGAACAAGACTAAATGCATTGATAATAAAAAAAAATAAATAAAATCTATGAAAAAAAGCATGTTCCCTAAACTAAAGGTTACAACATTTTTTAAACTATAGGTAGATGTTTACTGCACTTGGATAGACTGTTTCAGAGTATTTCTTCTAATTATCTCTAAGCAACAAGGTATCTCTTTTAAAAAATAATTTTTTTCATGTACATTTATAAGCCTTTAAGCCAATTATGCACAATCTCCTTCTGAAAAAACAACAATTATAATTTACCTGGAGCTCTCTTGCTATGCTTAATTTTATTATGAGAGTTTTTATATTTTTAAAAGGTACAAACAAATGTATTTTTGTAAGCATTTATTATGAGAATTAACTAAAGAAAAAAAATATTTAAAAAAATTAGGATTTATGTTTGAAAGTACATCACTTGAAATGACTGTATCAATTAAATTTCAGCGGTGGCGAGATGAGTAATTTTGGGCACACTTCAGTTAAAGCCTTCTTAAATAACCTGTAAGATTAGAAAAATCTCGCTCTGGGAAATGTACATAATTTCCACAAGGCAAGTTAGAAGTGATCATTAACTTTAAGTAGTTTATGAATAATTTTTGTCCCCCTTTCAAGTGATTGTATATTGAAATGAGAAATAAATCATATAATTAATAACACGGGGTGGGGGGGGGGGGGGTCAATGGCAAAAAGTCAGATTGCTGTTCAAAAGCTGTGAAAACTGTAAATAGTCGCTCAGTACATATATATTTTTTATTAAATATTTTACTGTAAACTGATGGAGTTAATCTGAAGACTGACACTTTTAAATGGCAATCTTTATTAGAATGTTAGTTATTAAATAATGTTACTTTACAGTTCTAAAATACTCAACTCTTGCATGGTTAACAACCCCTTTTCTTGCTAAAATGAAAATAACTGATGGAGTTAATCTGAAGACTGACACTTTTAAATGGCAATCTTTATTAGAATGTTAGTTATTAAATAATGTTACTTTACAGTTCTAAAATACTCAACTCTTGCATGGTTAACAACCCCTTTTCTTGCTAAAATGAAAATCCATGCTTTGGCTATTTTGAACGGTTTGATAATATTAAGACTGGTATAAATAACACTGGTATATTTAGCCCTGCTTCCTTGCTCTATTACAAATGTTAATTCAGACTGCAGCACATAATCCTTGCCTTAGCTCTCTCCATGTCTGCAGCCCTGTAAATCTTGTCTGAGGCACTTAGATTTTTTTTTCTGATGTTTGAACGGGTTTTGCAATTGTTTTACAGCTGTAAAAGAATTTAAAATCAACCAGCAATTTCTCTCCTTCCTCTGCACGCATCAAAGACAAGTCGCAAATTATAAACATATGATTTGCGTTTTCGTGAGGAACACGCGGAAACCGTAACACACAGAGAATTAATATCATTATAAAAGCAGTGCTGATAATGTCTGTGTAATTATTATTTAACAACGTACAGCACCCAGAGGAAAGAAAGAACAGCAGCATGTGCTTTTATTGAAAAAAAAAAAAAAAAGCATTTTTTTTTTTTGCATTCTATGTTCCCTAATCACATGTATCTATAATGAAGCAGTTGGTTTTTTAAATTATTAACTCTTTTTTTTTTTTTTACACAGACACAAGACAAAAAAAAAGGCAAATGCAAATATAAAAACATACCCTAAAAAAAAATACTAAACAGAAAAAATAAACGCTAAAACATAAAAACTGAAAATATAGTTAATTAGAATATTTTATACAAGCTATAAGAATGATGGGAAAACTGGATCATGATGCCTTTCAACTGGCGGGGAAAACAGTCAATATTAAAAACATGTGGTTTATGCATTATACATTTATGGCTCATTTCTAGATGTCATTTACGAAGACAGTGTCCGGTCAATGCGTACCTTTGCATAAGATGTCTTTTGCTTACCTGGAAGACAAGACTGCAGGCGATCTGGGAAGGCCAGCGGACCCCATAAATTAAGGGAAAAAATGCCACCTAGGAAAGTTTTAATGAAAGGTTTGTCTGCAAGGTAAGTCTTTGAAAATGATTTTCTGTTTTCATCTGAAACATGCTTCCTTCTGTCACGCCAAAGACATCATTGGCAGAAACAGCTGAAAGAGAGTATCACTGCATCTTGGCTGTCATGGAAAAAGCAGAGATTTTAAATAATAATTGAGACTGAAGTGGGCATAAATTAAACAAAGAAATGATTAGATGGGAAACAACAGAAAGAAAATGACAATTGCGGTACCCATAGATTCATCACGTAATTGACGGCCTTAATCTTTTTTTGTTTTTTTTTTGTTTTTATATAGGTACGTTTTTCAAAAACATTCATCATAAATTTAAAAAATAAATCTCTCTCTCTCTCTCTCTCCTTTCCTTTCTCGCACTCTTTTGCACCTGCTAGCAAAATATGGCTCATTCTAAATGTACGTATTATGTAATCATGAAATAATTTCAAAGACTTGACTATTCACAAGAAAACCCTGACACTCATGCTTAATGTCTTTACCTACATAAATAAATTGCAAACACAATAAATGACCCTGGTGAATGCCAAACTCATATAAAACAAGGCTAGAGACAGTGAAATGTTAATTGGGAGATAAATTATGGTGCTGCATTTGTACATGATGCACAGAATATACAAAGACTGCAAGTTCAGGCAGCTAAACCGCACTTTCATCAGATAACAGAAGTATTTATGTCAACTGTTATGTAACTCTTTGGGGCGAGAAAAAGTTACAGATGTCCTTTTCTATACTTAAGGAATAAATACTTTCAAAGCAAGCTTGTCCAGCTAGAACAATTTAAAATGCATTCATAAAATTCAAAAAGCAGCTGCTGCTTTAGGAATCCTGCAAACGTTTTGAGATCAGATAGTTAAAAATATATTTTGTGTGTCTATGGAATGCAGCTGTATCTACAGCATAGAGATATCATTCTGTATTCACTGCTGTGCATGCATAGTTCCTGCATGGCAGCCAGCTCCATGTAAAATAGATCTGTTTATTCCCAACTGATTGCTCAAAAGCATTTATAAATACAAGATAACAGCACAGGGAGATATCCATAGAGAGCGAGAGAAATCCGGGAACACTTGTCTCCATGGATTTGCCAAAATTCACTGGCAACCTATGCCAGTATTTATATAGGTCCACTGCCTATTGTGTAGAGGTCAAATGCTAGTGAATCATAAATATATTTATCGGGCCAAACCTGCAGCAAATTTGAGCCGGGGCCATTCAGTATAACTTCTCTGCAGAGGGAGATATCCATAGAGAGCGAGAGAATCCGGGAACATTTGTCTCCATGGATTTGCCAAAATTCACTGGCAACCTATACCAGTATTTATATAGGTCCACTGCGTATTGTGTAGAGGCCAAATGCTGGTGAATCAAAAATATATTTATCGGGCCAAACCTGCAGCAAATTTGAGCCGGGGCCATTCAGTATAACTTCTCTGCAGAGGGAGATATCCATAGAGAGCGAGAGAATCCGGGAACATTTGTCTCCATGGATTTGGCAAAATTCACTGGCAACCTATGCCAGTATTTATATAGGTCCACTGCGTATTGTGTAGAGGCCAAATGCTGGTGAATCAAAAATATATTTATCGGGCCAAACCTGCAGCAAATTTGAGCCGGGGCCATTCAGTATAACTTCTCTGCAGTGTTCCCAGGGGGCCCTCAAAATATGAGGCCTCCAATAGCATTCCCATTTGTTACAATTTCAAAAGTCAATGCATAGTAATGTAAATGCAATATAAGAGCAACACAATTTTGTGTGGGTCCTCAATGTTCTATTGGGAGGGTGCCCTGCATTGTATTATGGGATATACTGCGGGTATTCCTCAGTATCATCTTTGAGAAACCCATAGTGACTTTGAAAAATGCAGTCAGCCTCACATTTTGGGGGCTTCAAGGATGCCCTTTAGTAATGGATTTTCTTGCAAGCTGATTAAGACCCTGACCTAAAACAAAAAACAAAAATGGTGAGTATATAGCTAAACTGTGTGGGGAAAGTTCTCCTTAAAATAATAATGATAATAATAATCATCTTTCTTGCTTCACATGACAGCCTACAGTATTCATTGGTCAGTGCAGGATTGGTCTACCGTGACTTGGTAGCCAATAAGATGCTCTCATTGGACAGTGAAGTCAAGAAGTAGTTTTCATGAAAAAGCCATTTCAGATGGGCCAAAGAAGAACTTAGGCAATAGCAGGAACACCTTGTGGTGCCTTCTTTTGGCAACACTTTTTGTTTTGTTTAGTCAAATCGGAGGAAAGATTCTCTTCACAAAAGCCAATAATGATCCTTCTGCCTTCACATGACAGCCTACAGCATTCATTGACCAGTGCAGGATTGGTCCACCATTACTTCATAGCCAATAAGATGCTCTCATTGGACAGGGAAGTCAAGAAGTAGAGGCTTTCAAGAAAAAGCAGTTTCAGATGGGCCATAGAAGTTAGACAATAGCAGGCACACCTTGTGGTGGCTCCTTTTGGGCAGCACATTTTGTTTTCTTTAGTCAAATCGGAGGAAAAATTCTCTTCATAAAAGCCACTGTACCTAAACTCCATAATTTTCAACTTCTGCTTCATATAAATGTTTTCAGTATGACTTTAAAATGTTCATAAGGGATGATCAGAACAGAAGGTGTTAACAATAAAGGTGGCGTAAAAAGGAACAGTACATTCAAATACACACAGCTGGTCTCCTACAGATTCCATAGAAGAAAACATCACCTAAAGTAGATTTTAACTCAGTCACTAACATAAACAAGACAATGTAATTTTGAAAGTTGTTTTTTAAACTTTGTAAATGTTAAGAATTCAATAAAATATTAACTGGTTATCATGGCATGAATATCCTTGTTCAGGCCAGGGGCGGACTGACCATTTGGAAACTCGGGCACTGCCCAAGGGCCCGGGGTCAGTAGGGGGCCCCATGGATGCCCCTGGTACCTTTTTCATAGGCTTTTTTGAGTTTGGGCAAGGACACAGGGCCCCATGATCCCCTATTGCCCGGGGGCCCCATGAATTGTCAGTCCGCTCCTGGTTCAGGCACTTCCTGTTATCTGGTGACAATGCTCTGTCCCTGACTCCTGAAAGTACATCTCACATGCATTCCCTCCCCCTGTGCTCCCCACACAATTGTGCAGGCATGATCTATCTTTGTCACTATCATGAATCTGGTTTAGAATAATGATATGCAGACAAAGTGGAAGTGAGGGCATGTACACAGGAAATGATTGAATCCAGACACGGTGGACGGTCAGAAGAAAATATATGGTCTGCTAAGATTCTGAAGATGCTCAGGTTGAATCTGGAGCACAAATTTGGAATTCAGGTTGGGCATTGGAATCCAAAGGTGCAGAAAGCAGAGATGTAGTCAGGGTGAGCAGAGGTCAGCAACAACCAAGCAGCATTGCACACAGAAGTGAGGTCAGAATGCAGATCCGAGGTCATCAGGGAGATCAGGTTATCACAAAGTCAGAAGGCAAGCTGAGTCTAAGAAAGAGCGCAGGTAGGTCATGGGTCATAGGAGCTGACTATCATTCAGCAACTTCTCAGTGTGCTGTGCTTTAAATAAGGTGATTGGTGCCAGTGGCAGTGCTGTATGTGCATGAATATACGCACAGGTTTTCATGGATTCTTGGTCCCTAGGTGTTAATATGTTCATATACAGATATTTGGGCATGGTCCTGCACTCGATCTTCCTGATGATATGTCACAAATTTAGGCTCAAGGACCCTTTAACCCCTTTCCGCACTCCACGGGGGGGCAGAAAGGATCGGCGATATTGTGACCACTGGGATTGGATGTCACAGTGGTCACATGATCAGGATCCAGTCCCACCATTAGTCCAGGCTGAGAACTGTCTTAACAACTCAGCCTTTGTGTTCACTGCACACTTTCAGAACAGAAACATTGTATGCCTAGCAGCATATCCGTACGGAGTTTAGGTGTTAAAGTCCACCCTTTTGCTGATGCACATATGTAATATGAGGGCAGCAATGGGTTAAACTTCCTATGCTTATGTATCAAGATGTTTCATCTATTACAATTTCTTGGAAATATATATTGACTAGCTACCAGGGGCGGATTGACCATTTGGAAACTCGGGCACTGCCCGAGGGCCCGGGGTCAGTAGGGGGCCCCATGAGATGCCACTTGTACCTTTTTTATAGGCTTTTTTTAGTTTGGGCAAGGACACAGGGGCCCCATGATCCCCTATTGCCCGGGGGTTCCATGAGTTCTCAGTCCGCCCCTGCTAGCTACTATACCTATATATTACAATAATGCCTTCACTTTGAAAACTATGTTACTGTACATGTAGGATGGGAAGGACAGGTAAGAACAGGCTTGGAATGTATACAGACATTGGATGGCTGAGCTGCACATTTACAGATAAATGAGCACATTCTGTGCGCTAATCATAATGCTTCTTGACAATTGCATCTCACTTGTTCATTTCTGTAAATATGTTTATGTCTTCGGGTTATTAAGGTAATGGTATCAACTCGTAGGTGATGGCTGTAGCTTGGAAATAAATAATACTTGGTAAGGAGGTATACTCCTCTCTTGTGATCAACCACTATCGTAATAGTCTTCCATGAATAATACACAAGATAAGGATTTTAAAGTTGTGTTAAAGTAGGCCCTTCATTGCAATTCACACAAAGTATCATCTGCTCAGCTTTTTTTTTAGATAATTATCTATAAGTTATCAGCTTACTGTAAATAAACTTAGTATGTTAAACACTTTATTTCTATGAATAGCCTGTAATTATATGTGTACATGGGGGCAGCCATATTTACTCATTGCTCATGCTGCTGCTGCTTTTAGCTTTGTTATATAATAGTTGTGCTTTACTGTTCCTTCTCACAACTTACGTTGGCCAGCTAATTGGATAAAACTGCACTCCTTGTGTGGTTTCTTTTCACAAATTTTCTTACAAGCAAATGACGGCATTGACTAATGTAGGAAATTTCCATATACCAAGGCTACTTGGGATTTGTTTGTGTTTTAGCTTTTGGTTTTACAATATATCTGTTGAATAAATTCATTGGAAGCATTTTCTTCCAATGTCTTCTTTTCTGGATGTTTTGCTGTAGAAGGCAAAAATACATATTTTGTTGTATATAGTAGCTTATGTCAGCCTTGTCAACCAGGGTGCCCAGGCACCCTGTGGTGTCTTCAGGTTTCATCAGGGGTGTCTTGGGAAAATGCTTAAAAATAGTATACAAGCCATCAAGTGGATCAAGCCTGCCTTTTAGTTACACAAAGCCACAGGTTTTCATTGTATACCATTGCAACCTTCTAGCCCCTGGCGTCCTAACAACCAATGACATCAAGGAGGACATTGGTTGCCTGCACAACATCCTTGTTTACCCCTCCCCTGCCCCTCTCCATCAGCACTGGGGTCACATTAGCTGAGAGAGGGAGAGAAACTGAGGAAGAAGAGAGGGAAACATTGGAATACTAATCAGTACCAGTGTGCAAAAGTTTATTTCTTTTGGAGGAATAAATCACCCTTAACATTAAGTGTCCTATGTGTTTGGATTCTGCTGCACTATGAAAAACAATCTGTTTATTTTTTTTTTACATTTTAGAATGGGGTGCCCTGAGATTGTACATGATTTTAAAGGGTGCCTTGACTAAAAAATGGCCTAGAAAAACTGGGTTATGTTCACAGTTGTCAAGTGATTGCAGTGAGGTTCGGGTCACTTTCTAACAGCTAATTTTCAAATCTATATTTAATACGATAATAAAGAAGAGAGAGAGAGAGAAATGGAGAGCAATGATGGAAACATTTTAATGGAGTATCAAAAACTGAAGTAATCACTTTATTATTAGTGCATTGGTTTGTAAACAAGTTATTTTAAGAACATTAGGGAGGGATGGTGTTGGAGTTAGTGTCAGGAGTAGTGTGAGTGATGGCTTATTGGCTGATTACCTGTTGGGTTTACATGGAGGGCTGGTGTGGGGTCCGTGTTAATGTTACAGGGGGAGTTATTATTGACGGTTAGTGCTATATTCAAAGGTAGGTTTAGTGTTAGAGTTAAAAGAAAAGTTAGTATTAGAGTTACAGGTAGAGTTAGTTATAGGGATAGAGGTAGGGTTAGTGTTAGAGTTGCAGGTAGAGTTAGTGTTAGGGTTACAGGTTGGGTTAGTATAAGGGTTACAGGAAAAGGTAGTCTTAGGGTTACAGGTAGGGTTAGTGTAAGGGTTACAGGCAGGGTTAGAGTAAGGGTTAAAGGAAAAGTTAGTATTAGGGTTACAGGTAGGGTTGGAATTAGAGTTATAGGAAGAGATAGTATTAGGGTTACAGGGAGTTTGTATCAGAGTTACAGGAAAAGTTTGTATTAGAGTTACAGGAAAAGTTAGTGTTAGGGTTACAGGAAAAGTTAGTGTTAGGGTTACAGGAAGAGTTAGTGTTGGGGTTACAGGAAGAGTTAGTATTAGGGTTACAGGAAGGGATAGTGTTAGGGTTACAGGAAAAGTTAGTGTTAGGGTTACAGGAAGAGTTAGTGTTGGGGTTACAGGAAGAGTTAGTATTAGGGTTACAGGAAGGGATAGTGTTGGGGTTACAGGAAAAGTTAGTATCAGGGTTGCAGGAAGGGATAGTGTTAGGGTTACAGGAAAAGTTAGTTTTAGGGTTACAGGAAGAGTTAGTGTTAGGGTTACAGGAAGGGTTAGTATTAGGGTTACAGGAAGGGTTAGTGTTAGGGTTACAGGAAAAGTTAGTATTAGGGTTACAGGAAGGGTTAGTGTTGGGGTTACAGGAAGGGTTAGTGTTGGGGTTACAGGAAGAGTTAGTGTTGGGGTTACAGGAAGGGTTAGTGTTAGGGTTACAGGAAGAGTTAGTGTTGGGGTTACAGGAAGGGTTAGTATTAGGGTTACAGGAAGGGTTAGTATTAGGGTTACAGGAAAAGTTAGTGTTAGGGTTACAGGAAGAGTTAATGTTGGGGTTACAGGAAGAGTTAGTATTATGGTTACAGGAAGGGTTAGTATTAGGGTTACAGGAAGGGATAGTGTTGGGGTTACAGGAAAAGTTAGTATTAGGGTTACAGGAAGGATCAGTGTTAGGGTTACAGGAAGAATTAGTATTAGGGTTACAGGAAGAGTTAGTGTTGGGGTTACAGGAAGGGTTAGTGTTGGGGTTACAGGAAGAGTTAGTATTAGGGTTTACAGGAAGGGATAGTGTTGGGGTTACAGGAAAAGTTAGTATTAGGGTTACAGGAAGGATCAGTATTAGGGTTACAGGAAGGGTTAGTGTAAGTGTTATAGGAAGAGTTTAGACTGGAGTTACAAGAAAGGTTTTTTATGAATAATACAGGGATGGTTACTTACAGTGTTATAGGCCCAGTTAGTTTGTAGGTTATAGGGAAGATTAATATAACTGTTAGGCTGATGTGTGGGTTGGGTTTAGTGTAATAGTTGGTGTTATGGTAACAGGGAAGGTTAGTATGAGGGTTAGTGTCAAGGATTAAAGGGAGAATTAGGGTTAGGGTTAAAGGAAGGGTTGGTGTTAGGATTAAATTAGTAGTTATAATGAGGATAGTGGCTGTGGTGCAGGTGGTTTATGTGCTGGCAAAACAAAAAAGGACCATGCACTGCAGGCTGAAAGAATCATCAACACTAAAATATTGCTCCCTAGTAATCCCTAATCGCTGTCTGTAATGCCATCTCCCCTGTACCTAATGTGTTTACAGGCAAAATGACACAGACACACAAACAACCTGGGTACATGTGCCCCAAAATGTGTTCTGCAAAGTACCAAGGAATGTGCCAACACTATCGAAACATGTCTGACAGTAGATTTGTTGCTTGAATTACCTTGAAGGGACCAAGATAGGGTAGAGAGATTTGAAATATGAATCAAAGGTCTGATGCAGGTGCCTGTGGTTTAATCTGATGAAGCATCTGGTTCTGTACCCACAATGCCCCTATCTTGGCTGTGCTAAGTAGAACTAACAGGCTGATGTGAGTGGGTGTAAAAACGAGGTGCTGGGTGACTGCAATTCAGATGTCTAGCCTGGAGTCCTCTATCTTGTTTCCACTTCCCCTGTCACGGGCCCCGACTTCCTATCACAATCCTGAATCTTTACTTTATGTGTTATATAGGGCTCA